CTTATTGATTCATTTCCTCATTGTAGTTCAACTCTTGCACTACTGATGAAGTGCTTAGAATTCAACTTGCTTGTTTTGCAAAACAGAGGAATCACTTGAAAATTTAGAAGCATACATTTTTGATTCTTTGTTGGATATTTTATTAGGACATTTACTTTTCTTTGTCTTGTATCATCTTGAGTATAAAAAAAAATTGAAATGCATTTTTCTTGAGTTGATAGGCACCATGACTTGGTTTTTTCAAAATTTGCTGTGATTCAATTGCAAGACCCAAATTCTGAAGCTTTGCTAAGTTGCTTTGAACTTCAAGCTGAGTGTATAAGACTAGCTTATAAATTCTATGCAATGACGCCGTTGAAACAGGGATGGGGGTCGAGATTGAGGATGGGGCTGCAGACGGGACTGTGGATGGGGGCTGGGGTCGGGAACTGGGGGAATGGCGGCGACAGCTTTAGGAACAAGGGCAATGGCTGGGAACATTGAAAACGAGGATAGGGTCTAAAGCGGTGCAATGATGTGGGTCGATGAACTCCGCAAAACGAATACCAGTCACAGAGAGAAGCACAACAAAGCACCGCCAATGCATTGCGTTGTAGGGCCCCTCTTTTTGGATCCGCACCCACCCAATTGCCTTTGCGTCCCCACAAATCCCACGCTCTTGCCCTGCTGGTCCATCGCCCATCGCAAACAACAGCAGGATGGATGCCTCGTTTTCGTTTTGAGCACTCACAGGCCTCCCTCACTCCCTCCCTCCCCCCCTCCCTCTCCTTTTTGGCACAGAGCCCCATCCGCGCCGAGGAATGATGCATGGATGACTGTCGATGTGGGAGAGGAGGGGAGAGAGGTGTGTGCAAAATTTTGAAATACCAAGAGGGTGGGAAACATGTGAGAGCGAGAGAGTAAGTAAGTAGGTGGTTAGAAATCGATTGGAGACTTGGCGGTGCTTTGTCGTGCTTCTCTGTGTGACTGGTATCCGTTTTGCGGAGTTCGGATAACCCATGTTGCTTTTGAACTTAAAAGCAATCAGTCTGAAGGGCGCTTGTGCATCACGGTTTTCCTGATTCATTAACTTTGTCCTGGTTCGCTTGAAAGAACCTTGCTGGGTTTCATCAACATCATCATCATCATCATCGTCGCCTTGGTTGCCCATCTGTCCACCACTTCACCATTATTTACTCTCCTTCTCTGTTTTTGTTTTTGTTTTTTAATCTTTCTTTAGAGCACAGTTGAAGCAGCGTTCATGAAACAGTAACCGACACAGAATTCACACCCAAGTCCCGCGTCACCGCTTCCCGGGTCATAACTTCCAGAGATCCGCAATTGCACATGCGATCTAACACGGTTGATTGATGGCGTTGATCTTAAATTCCGGTTTGACAAAAGGAGAGAGCTCAGTGGGTAACGCTCAAACGGACTGATTCAGGAAATAGTTATCGCCCACTTTCGAGTTGACTTCCATCAATCACTTGCAATTACTCTTCCCATTTAGAGCCAACCGTGGTTGTCGATTCGAAATCCTGGAAGCAGAAGAACTGCAGTGTGGGTTCGTAACGTGATCCTTCCCTGCTCTAAAGTCTTGATGTAGAGAGAAAAAGAGCACAGGCCTCTGTGTTGGAAATTTATTCTTCCTGGAAAAAAGCAAACTGGATTGGGTCTGACACGGTGTCTGAGCACGCGGTGCAGCATGCATGCACTCACACACAAGGGGAGACCAGTCACGTAAGAACCATGAAGTTTTTCGTGCGCTTGCGGATGGATGTGGAGATGCTTTTCGTTCTCAGTTTCAAAGGCGCACCACTCATTAATCGTGTTTTCGATTCTCACTTCGCAGCGCGTCTCGCTGCAAGTCCACGTCTGCTGCTGCTGCCTCGCTTCACTGATGGGGTGTCTGGAATTATTCGGGCCTCGACAATGAGCTCATGATTTTGCAGCCCCGCCCACAGAAAATCACCTCCTGACCTCGCTCTCTGACAATCTGAAGCTCCCCTGACTCCAACCCTACATGTCTCGACTTTTGCTGCCTCACGCACAAAGTATGCTCCGTGTCATGTAGTCTTTTTCATGTCGCTTGCATTGATTATTTTGTAATGAAGTTGTTTTGATCATTTTCTTTTACACGTACACACACGTATATATAAATATACATATTTTTTGACACACACTTGATTGTAGGTCTTCTGTAGAACATAAACATCGACGGTCAGACTTGGCTTATTGTGCAAACTTTTTTACCCCGATGCAACCCAGATGCAATCGTCCCTCACGACCCACCCTTCATCGTCAGTACGTTGTAAAAAGTCTTCAATCAACAGTGAAGCACTTTCAGCTGTCTTTTGATCACACTTACACATGCAGCATTGCAACATCTGCGCAATGCACTCAGAAAATAATAATAATAACAAAAACAAAACCATTGCAGTTATCTGAGTAAAAGGACAGCAATAAAACATTCCATCCTCCGCCAGGAATTGAGTCATCTTCTGATTGAAGCTCAAGCATTTTCCTCCAAAGCCAAGCCACAACAACGGCTTTGTACAAGGCAAGAAAAACTCCGCATTATCTAGATTCGTAGAGTTGGCAATTACCGGAGATTGCTACATGCAAAAACCTTTTAAGCCTGATCAAAGCTCTGGACTATGTTGAAATATTTAGTACAATCAATAGCAAGGAAGTTTACTCTCTCAAGTCCTAAAAACAGCAAAAAAACATAAAACCAAAAACCAAAAAAGTGGTGAGCTTCGTAGAGGCTGATGAGGTGCATGATGGCAATGAGTTTGATGGGATACTGACACAAAATGTTTTCAGTGAATGGGGGCGTTTCATTTCACTATCTTGCAATCTTGCTGCAGGAATGTTGTGGTAAATTGGGCTTGAATGTAGTGTGTACTCCAGGACAACTAACTGGGTTTAAAAGACTCCCCCCCCCCCCCCCCTCTCAGCTTTAATAATAATAAAAAATGAACAGAAAAATAAAAACTGGGCTTATTTCTCAAGGCCTTGTCTTCAGAGCGTGCTTCTGCTTTCTCTTTTTGCTTTTTTCTTTTTGACCTTAGATATTTATTTTCTGTGCTTATTATTTAATAATTTAAAATTAGTAAAAAAATATTTTTTTTTTCAACATGAAGAAACCCCTCTGTTTGTTATGAAAGAAAAATAAAAACAGAGAGTGGCGTGGGTGTTATGGGGTGTGGCCGAAGGGGTTTCAACACCTTAATTGATGCTAGTACAGCAGAGCTCAATAATAATAATGCAGGGTTCAATCATTCGAAATTCTCCCCCAAGTCGCACCTTTTATTTTTATTTTTTATTTATTTTTCACTTTATTGTGTATACGCTTTCTATGGGTCTGACCAAAGGTAACAAATACATGCAAAGTCAATTAGTATCCTGTGCTTTTAATTGGTACTGTTATACTTTATACACTTCACTTATTTTAATGTCAAACATGCACATACATACATGAGTTCATGTATTATGATTGTATCCATTATTATTCTTCTGAATATTATATATATATATATATATATATTTACGGTAATTGAAATGGTGCTTTAAAATAATATGCATGTGTGTGTGTGTATATATATATATATATATATACATATGCAAAAAAAATACTTTAGAATTGCATCAGATTATGATTCTTTAAATTTTAAATAGATCCTCAATAATTAACTTTTTATTACTAGGGTAAAAATACAAGAAAAAAATAATTAAAAAGTGCTTGATAAAAAAACACTTATGTATATATATATATATATATATATTCAAGAAAAAAATTCAAATTAATTATGAATTCATAAAATATATATATATATATATATATATATATATATATATTTGCATAGGTTAAGTATTGGTAGAGCAAATTCCAATATACTTCAAAGTGTTACAAAATTTACAAGTTATTCAAAACATAGTCTTTTAATTATTTTAAAATATATATTAGGTAGCAATTTGACTTCAAATCAATACAAATAAAGCAACTTATACTTGTTAATTTATTTAGGACATCATTAATATGAGATAAAATTCCATATTTATTTTTATCTGGTTTAATTTATTTTAACTTAATTTGATATATACTTCTAAATTGTTATCTTGTTTGAGGCTTTATAAACAACACACACAAATTTAAATATCTTTTTAGTCCACATTGCATGTAGAAATTTATTTGGCCTTACATATCTCCTTACTACCAAGTTGTTAATTGAAATTTAAGTTCTAACAATCATATTTGCTTCAATTGTTATGATTTTTAAAGAAGTCATATGGTCTTTAATGGCCTTGATTTTATGCCATAAGTAAAATCTAATAGGTTTGTATTGTTATTGATTGTTTTTTTTATTTAATTATGTAAAGTCTAGTTTCAACTTTAGTATTAAATAAATAATATGTGTTCGATATTCTAAATAAAAAGAGCCATCTTTATACATGTTCTTTTACTTCTCATGTAATGAAAATGAATTAAAATACTAATACAAAAAATATAAGTTAGATATTGAATACATCACAAATTTTAAGATATACATGTAATTAAAGTGTTAGTAGAATTGTAGTGACAAGTCTTTAATATATACAGGTTGAGGCAAAGAAAATTCAAAAGTATTTCTCTCATTAAAATGATGGCTATTCACATATTTTGAATAGGTTATTTTGAAAATCACGAAAATAATTCTACTTTTATTTTGTTATTACTATAAAATATACCTACATTGTTATCGTATATAATTGTTTTCGAATTATCAGAAAAACAATCGCAATATTTTTTATCTATGAGTTCTTTCGAAAAGAGAGTATCAAACTGTACTGTAAAAATATGAAAGACATCTGTCTTTGTATTATTTAGTTAATTAGCATGTCTTCACCTTGTGTGATTGAATTAAACTCACAATGTTTAAATTTGCTTTGCTTTTACTGTTTACATCATTTTGTTTTAGAAGTGCATACAATTGTTTTAGTTTCACGTGTAAATACAGACATTGACTTACTGGTAAATATAATACGCAAACCTATGAAACTCTTATGCAAATCTCGGGATCTGCTTGGCATCAAATTGATACTGGCACAGAAAGATTACCAATAACGGTAGGAAGAACCCACCATCGCCAGAAAAGGTTTGTATAGATGCTTCTGGAAAGGAATATGTCAGAGCTGAAGCAACTAACAGCATAACTTTCCCGGCAGGTGCAGTGTTGATAAGGTTTCTAACAAAACATTCTGCTCTAAATGGATATTATTTTGAAGTGTTTTGAATCTGGTTGTACACTTGACGGATACCTCACTCTCAGTCTCTGTTAACAAATTAGTCCTTACATTGGACCGACTACACAAGTCATGCTCTCAAAATTGCCGTCATTTGTACCAGCCAGCCATTAGGTATCGAAGCCCGAAACAGAACCCACAGCACAATACCTGCGGACACATAAACCACACTACTCATTCCGAAATGCACCAAATGTATCCCCACTTCGTATAGAGAAACCTGCATCTATTTCTGAAAAACTTAACTACACGAGAACATTAGGAAGATAAGGGAAACTAAAATATTCATACCTGGAAAATCAACAGCCGTATACAAAGCTGTTGCTCAGAGCAACGCCCAAACCAACGCAAAAAGAGATTGACAAGATTCATGTCATTGGAGCCGATAAGAAGCCCCGAGTGTGGATCGAAGCTGTTGTAACCAACCAGGTGTCAGAGATCATAGTTACCATCAAATAGAAATGGCCATTGCCTCGAATTCAGAAGATCTAACTCTATGCAAATGTATGGTGGACAATTGACCATCAGAATCGATAGAAAAATATAAGTAGACTTGGGGAGTTCAAGAATAGAACTATATATATATCATAAACCTCGAGCTTTGATTGAGGTATTTGTTTCAGCAACTTGCCTTGGTAATCGATGTCGTGGGCAGGGCACAATCTTGAACAACTACTAACAATTGAAAGGAACACAGCATATATTAGTGATAAAATCTGAATCGAGATTGGAGACATCAATGCTAAGTAGATATGATACTTGAATTGAGAACTCGATCGATATTTTTGAAGACACGTAAAAATCCCAAGGAGCATCTCTTTAAAGATTGAACATTTGCATAATACAACTTACCTGAGGAATGGAATATAGGAAGTTAAGAATCTGGGGCAGAAAGAATAACAACATTGTCTCACTGCATAACCATATAAGGATGATGTCAGTCTTTCACCAAAAAGAGTGGTACTTAATTGGGTTGCAATCACAACTTGATACCATCTCAGAAAGCCAGGAACTCCGCATTCGATCAGCCCAACAAGTTCAATCAAGGCAAAAACATTGACTACAAAAATGACGGCATCACCTGAAGTGACCAAGGATGCCTACTACTGCCAAAGCCATTCCCGCAAAATAGGTGTACGTATCACCAACAAACACTGATGAAGGATACCTGCGAATATTTCCCGACATTCCGGAGTTCAAGTCATTTGAAAATTTGACTCAGCAGTCAAAGATACACGAGCCATTCCAATGAACATAAAATCAGAGAGGATTCATGACAATCAAATGCAATTCTACAAAAGACCTTATCATGGAACAACGTAATTGATCGAGATAATCACTCAAGCTTACCAGTTAAAAGCCAGTAATCCAAGAGAAGTTGCAACAAATGGTTGCATAATATACAAGGAGAAGGCATGAGCATGTCTGGTCTCTTCACTGCGGGATATTTGCATCACATTGTGTATCAACACCTGCATAACAAATGCCACTATTCACTATTCTATTAACACCTACGTAACATCCACTATTCTAGTAACTGCTGCAAAATCCTGACCCTAAATTGTTCAAAGTCCATACGATATCGAACCCTTTAACCTTTAAAGGCATAAATGTTTTCTCAAAGCGATACCAAGATACAGCAATAATGTTGAAAAGCTTTACACACAGCAAATAAGTTACTGAAGAAGGGCGTAACTGTATCAACGCAAAGATAAATTTGTGGACACATCACAAGAAATTCAAGTGTCCACACTTGAAAAGAGTAAGATAAGAATTTCTCAAAGACGAAGCAAAATAGTTTCTGAGGAGCGCTTTACTCTGACGTAATCCGAGTATCAACCTGTGAAAGATGTTGGTCACTAACTAATGAATTATGTTGCTAGTCTTGTATCTTACACCTATTCTTGAAATACCACAACTCTTAAAGAACTAACGAACATCATCGAAGCTAGCAGAAAGAGTTCCAAGCGACCGTTGAACTAGTTCAATAGTAAAGTACGAGTATGGGAACCGACAACTATGCTCATTAAACTTCTCATACATCATGCGTAGGAGTTGTCTACTTTCTGGCTCGACCCTTGTGATGGAAACTGAAGTATTGGAAGAAAAACATGTGCGCACACTGAAAGCTAAAATTACGATAAAATTACTTCACACGATGAATATTCCTACACCTCAAAATGATGGAAATTAAGTGTAGAAAGCTTACTGCGCACGAAATGATGACAGTCTGACCCACTTCCAATCCATTCACACCAGCCAAAATATTAATTGAGTTGGTGCAGAAAACAGCGAGCAGTCCCATGTACAGTTTGTATATCCAGCCTGCAATAGCACAGGTTGCCACGAAAAGACATTCCAACAATCAAAAATGATTTGAACAACATATAAGTACTGCCGAAACAGACAAGCAAGCGAAGGATACGAATTAGCGACAAAAACAAGAAAGAAACTAGTCTTAAAGGAGACCCTGCTCACAGATGGTTTCAAATCAATTTTTACCCAGATCCAGTTCGTTAAACCCTAAAGTGGGGCGTAAAGGTTTTGGAATAACAATGTTGGTCCTCCCAGCATACGCCATTAACAAGGGAAGGGCTGCAATTGATGGGAGAAACAGTTTGCTGCAAGAAATGCCACAAATATATCTATGAGTAACAATATTTGATATCCTCCGCAGAAGTGACTAAAACTGAAGAACAAGGGATCGACAGAAACGATCAAAAGGCTGAAGTGGGGGGGGGGGGAGAAAAAAAATGAAAAAAAAAGGGGGGGGGAGGAGAAGAAGCAGAAAAAGAAAAAGAAAAAAGGGGTGATACTTATCATATCAACGACAAAACTAATACTTACACACGCCATGGGATGTCTAAAACGTCATCAACGAAGCCCAGGAAGATCATGAAGCAAATGCTCGCCAGTGCTGCGTAGTACTCTGTCAACCACTGCCAGAAACCACATCAGATCCTCATTAAGAAAGGCAAAAACTTTGTTAAAATATCAATTCTACGGGAAGAGGTGCATCAAACTTCATGAGACAGTCGTTGGACAGTCCCAATGAGTACTAAATCACATCTACTGATTTGAGCAATATGTTTCCTAAAAATCCAGTGAGTTTGTTGAAAAACTTAGTACTGGTCGAGTCTGCAAAGAAGTAAAAGACTTTCTGTGAAATGATGATAAGTCAACCTCTCGTGTAAGTCAATACCACGGAAACTATGAAGCAGGTTTGCCCAATACTTAGATTCCAGGTGAATACGATGCAACAAGTTTGAATCTTAAATCCTGAACTATGTGCAGGTCGAGCTGAACACAAGATGGTAATTTTGATACATAAAGACCCGTAATACTGAGATTGAACAGTTCATATGGCCACTCTCTCCAACCACGACAGAGTAATTCAAGTGTGCTTCTCCACAGCATGAGATCAAGAGGGCTGGATAGACAATTACCAAGCCTCAAAGGAACCATTCTAAAAAAAAACTCCTACAATGATGAATTACCACAAGAAAGGCTGGAAATAATTGCGTACAGCATTTTCAGGCGGATAGGAATCGGAGATGCTGTTCTCTTGGCTGAAGATAAAATGTTGAAACAGAATTGCCACCACCAAAAACACAATGCCCGACACCAATCCCAACGACTCCGGCCTGCCAAAACCAACCACAGCATATCCTGACTAATCAGCACTGCACAACAACTCCAAGCCATCACGCAACAAGAAGCATCAAGCAATCGAACTTACACTTTGACCTTCCCGGCAGCCGAGCCGCGCTTGTTGATATCGTAGCCAAACATATTACGCCGAAGAACATACTTGGAAGCGACAGGAATGAGCAGAATCGTGCCGCCGAATCCGACGACACTCATGGCGAGGTTGATGAGAATGGAGCGCATCAGGCCACGCTCGATAGGAAGCAAATAAAGCAAAGACAGGTACGGCGTGAGCAGGAACAACGCCAGAATGGCGAGCTTGGTCCATTTTATGGTGAGCACGGGCGCATTACGAACGACATCGTCGTCCACACCAGCTGCAGGATCCTGCTGGTGAGTGGAATCAGGCTTGGCACTGCCACTGCGACGCCGAATCTTACCTTCCGCCATCGTCGACTCCACCCTAAAGAGCACAGATCAGACAAAAAAACAGCAGCGTCCTAAACCCTAATTCCTGAAAATCCTTTCCTGTCTCACATTGGGTTTGCTTGCCTATGGCCGATTTGAACGCCTACACTTCCCTACCAGCCAATGGCTATTTTCTTAACTAAACTTCCCTCCGATTGCAAGCTCAACAAACTCTACAAATTCAACTCCGCAAAGTTTTCCTTCGACATCCGCATCGCAAATGCCGACTCAAGCTCTCTTTCGAAACAGACCAGACTCTTTGACAGTATCAAAAAACAAACACTGACACCACCAACCTCAGTCTTGATATCGCCAGGTTCAAGTGGATGAATGAAGTGGATGGACATATGGATGACTGACATTATAGCTTACTGTGACATGGGTCTCCACGCGGCAAGAAGCTATTGATTTGGGAAGCCGCAGTGGCGTAAGAGTGACGTCGACTGTGAGTCTAGTCGGATTGTACTGACTGCCACGATGAAATTGCGTCATACTGACACTTGGACCGAGAATTGTCCTACGTGGACATTGACCTTGGCGGGAACTTGCATTGCTATGTTGTTGGGGAGAGTTAAAATGTGTGATTTTGGGAGAATACTACTACTAATAATATTTTCATTTATTTTATTTTATTTTTATATACTATTGACATTGATCATAAATTGTAGTAGTATAATCGTATTTCATGTCCAGTTTTGGTATTATTAATGGGAAAAATGGAAAGTTGGTAAAATGGTACAATAGAGGGGCTGCAAAACTTTGTCAGAATGGATATAGAACTGAGAAAATATATTATTTTTAATGTAACAGTACTTGGTATAGGACTAAATATATATGCATACTAATTGGAGTAGTACATTGTCAATACAAGCAATATATACTATATGTTATATATATATATATATACATATCTGATTATTTAATTCCAACATTTTAATCTATACAACATTTTAATTTATTCAACATTCTTTATTTCATATTTTCAATATTTTCTAAATTGTTTTAATAAAAAATATAGAATATAAAATATTACTCACCTCTTTTTAATAACAAAATAATAAAATTTCTTAATATTTTGTATTAACAAAATAAATTTATTAGTTAAAATGATTATTTAAAGATACAAGTTCTGAAAAAATAAAAGATGTCTTTTGTTAACATTTTATTAAAATATTATTGTAATTAAAATTTGTTAAAATTTGAAAATACTTGTTCAATTTTTTTTTTTCAAAATAACAGATTATTAGATAAATAATTAAAATTTATATTTATAAATCAGAGTTTCTAAAGAAGATATCCATGTTATTTATGAAAGATAAATAAGTAAAAATAACTACTTAACAAATATTAAAAACTCAATAAATTCCTTCCAAATGAGTTAGAATGTGCTATAGTTAATATTGACTTTATTAGTGAATCTTTAACAAACAATAGTTTCTACAAATTTGTAGAAATTATTTGAGAAATTCATTAAAATTTGTTCTAATCATAAAATAAATAAATAATTTTTTTAATATTTTAAAATAATTACAAAGTATATTTTTTAAAGAATACATAAATAAAAAAATAAGAAGACTGTTAAGTAGATCCAATATTTTAATAAATCAACCCACCCATCATAACCATCATGAAAAAAATAATGAATAGTTGTCATGGACATACATTGGAAGATTCTTCGAATATTCTTCTAGAATATTCTCTAAAGATTATCTAAAGATTCCTTTAGAAGGTTCTAGAAGATTCTTAGAATATTCCCTAAAGATTCTCTTAGAAGGTTCTAGAATATTCTTAGAAGGTTCTAGAATATTCTTAGAAGGTTCTAGAATATTCTGATAGATTCTAGGAAGTTGCTCGAGAAGTTTCCTAATTAGTAGAAGTTGTTGGAGAAGCGTCCTAGTTAGCGGAAGTAGCTCGAGAAGCTTCCTATTCAGTAGTATATATAGGAGTCGAGGCTGAAGGGTTCTTCAGTCTCGACAACACATCTCTTGGAGTTCTAGCTCACCTTCCTGGTGTTGTTCTTGTACTCATCTGTTTAATCTAGTTCTGCCACTTCTTCTTGAACTTCTTGTTAGATTTCAAGTCTGTATTTTGTGTCCGTGACAGTTTGTCGAGACTGCATTTTCACTGGTATCAGAGCTAGTTCCTTCTTGTTAGAGAGTGGATTACCCCTCTTCTTGAAGGTGTGCTAGTGTTTTTAGAGGTTGCGGATTACCCTCCTCTAAACTGATATCTCTTCTTTCTCAATATTGGAGCCTTATTCTTCTTGGAGAGAGTGGATTACCCCTCATCTTGGAGTCTTAAGGCGTTTTAGAGGTTGCGGAGTACTCTCCTCTGAACCAATATTGTCTTCTTGTCAAAACTCTTTTTTCTTCTTTCTGAAGGTTAGCCGAAGGTTAAGACGTTAAAATGGCTGAAAGTTTGGAATCCAAACTAGACGCCATCATAAATGCTCTTGCCTCGTTGTCACATAGGACAACAAAGATCGAAGGAGTCATGGTAGGACTCCATAACAATGGAGCATCTGGGATAGCGCCATCTAAAGCATATCAGCCTCAAACTTCTGCGCTAGAAGAAGCAGTTCTACCTCCATTTCAACAAGATCGAGTAGTCCTACAACGAAAGGAGCCTCGAGTTAGTCTTCCGGATAAGTTTGATGGAACTCGTTCCAAGTTTCGAGGTTTTGTCAACCAAATCAGGTTGATAACAATTTTACAGCCCGAACGTTATCCGACGGAGGAAGCGCGTGTTGGGCTTGTTGGAACCTTGCTTACAGCACAAGCTTTGTCTTGGTTTACTTCCTTGTTCGAGAAGCGATCGCCAATCCTGAGCAACTTTGAAACGTTCTTGGAGGCGTTTGCAGAAGCATTTGGCGAGCATGATAAAGTTCGATGGGCTACAACAAAGATCCGATCGCTACGACAAGGAACACGCTCTGCATCAGTCTATGCCTCGGATTTCAGACAATTGGCAAGTGACATTAATTGGGGTGAAGAGGCGTTGGTGAGTCAGTTTTATTGGGGCTTGAAGGATGATGTGAAGGACTTGCTGTTATTTCTTCCTGATCCTCAAACGCTCAACGAAGCTATTAGCCAAGCTGTAAAGTGTGACAACCGCCTATTCCAGCGTCGCCAAGACCAACGTCCAAGACACCAAATGACTCGTTACGACGTGACTATGTCTGCAAATAGCTTAAATTCACATTCGGAGGCAACAGACATGCAAATCGACACGGCGCGTGTCCGATCTCTTACTCCAACAGAGAAGAAACGGCGTATGGAGGAAGGGTTATGTTTGTACTGTGGAGAAGAAGGTCACAAGGTTGGAAATTACCTAAAGAAGCAAAATTGGCACCCTGTCAAGACTAGAAGTGCGATGATTCCGGAAAACGACGACGCCCAGCCACAGTAGGAACCGTGCGGCTGGACAATCTAATATCACGACAACAATCAGGTTCCTCCTTCTCTGTCCAACCTGCCCGTTGTTTTATAATTCCTTTGTTTTTAGGCCCTCAAAAACAAAAAACTTTAGCTTTATTGGATTCGGGGGCATCTACTTGTTTTTTAGATGAAGAGTTTGCTAAACGCCACAAGATCCGTTTAGTACAGAAGTCCAAACCTGTTCACGTAGAGGTGATAGATGGACGACCCTTATTGTCAGGCAACGTTACCCACGAATCAGAACCTATAGAAGTGGTGTTTAAGGACCATAGTAGTCACGTTATTTTTAATATTATTAGAACCCCATCAAGCCCTGTTATCCTTGGTCTTTCTTGGTTAGAAGATCATAATCCGTCCATTGATTGGAGGCTACGAAGGATAACATTTCCTGAAAAAAATAATAATAAACTTGTTGGTAGAACCTACATGAAGAAATCCATGTTTATTGGAGCGAGAGCGTTCCTAAGATCGTCCAAGGAAGGCGCACCATTTGTCATTTATGCAGCTCCAACTAGCGGCGAGAATATCTCAACATCGAATATACCAGAGCAATATAGGGATTTTGAAGACGTGTTTCAGAAGAAGAACGCCGATATACTGCCGGAACATCGACCATATGATTGCGCCATAGACTTAGAGGAAGGAGCGCAACCACCTTTTGGTCCAATATACAACCTATCGCAGACGGAGTTGGCAGAATTGCGGAAGTACATCGATGAGAATCTAGCCAAGAATTTTATTCGACATTCAAAGTCGCCAGCTGGAGCACCAATCCTATTCGTGAAGAAAAAGGATGGCTCACTGCGGATGTGCGTGGACTACCGAGGACTCAACAAGATGACCAAGAAAAATCGCTATCCCTTACCTTTGATCTCCGGCCTCTTAGATCAACTTGGACGTGCAAGGATTTTTACAAAGATTGATTTAAGAGGAGCCTACAACCTTGTGCGAATCAAAGAAGGAGATGAATGGAAGACAGCCTTTCGTATAAGGTATGGCCATTTTGAGTACAATGTCATGCCTTTTGGTCTTACCAATGCTCCAACGGTCTTTCAGCATATGATGAACGACATCTTTCGGGAGTACCTCGATGACTTTGTTGTCATCTATCTGGATGATATTTTGATATTTTCCAAGAATGAAGAAGAACATGAGAAGCACGTTTGTTTGGTTCTTGAAAAACTACGTGAACGAGGACTCTACGCCAAGTTGGAGAAGTGTCAATTTCACCAGAATGAGATGGAATTTTTGGGCTTCATTGCGACTATAGAGGGCTTGAAGATGGATCCAAAAAAGGTAGAAGCAATTATATCTTGGGAAGTTCCGAAGACGGTTAGAGATGTTCAGTGTTTTCTTGGATTTGCTAACTTCTATCGGATCTTCATCAAGAATTATTCTCAAGTTGCTGCACCACTCACGCGTCTAACAAGCAAAGACAAGCTCGAATAGAGATCACAAGCAGCAAAAGCATTTCAAGATCTCAAGACGGCATTCACTACGGCTCCAATCTTGGTACACCCTGACTTTGCAAAGGCTTTCTATTTAGAGACCGATGCTTCAGATTTTGCTTTGGGAGCTGTGCTTTCACAGATGGGCATAGACAAGAAGCTTCACCCAGTTGCGTTCTATTCACGGAAGTTCTCTGCTGCTGAGATCAACTACGAGATCCACGACAAAGAGCTGCTTGCTATAGTGGATGCCTTCCAAGAGTGGCGTCACTTCCTCGAAGGAGCTGCACATCCAGTGACTGTTTATACGGACCACAAGAATTTGGAGTACTTCATGACAGCTCGAATTTTGAATCGTCGTCAAGCTCGATGGAATATGTCTCTATCACGATTTGACTTTATTATC